GATGGATGGATGGATGGATGGATGGATGGATGATGGATGATGGCAGGATGATGGATGGATGATGGATGATGGAGGGAGGGAGGGATGGTGGATGGATGGAACAGTGGGGGGTGCATGGACAGGTGGACAGAGGGAAAGGTGGGAGCAGAGCTGGACAAAGAGAACATCCAGGAACAGCTGGGTGGACAGTGGGGACATGAAGAAATGACCACAGGGGTGGGGGTTGGATGGAGGTGGGACAGTGACAATGCTTGAGTTCCTGTGTCGTTCCCTCTCACCCAGGTGGCTGACGGAGTCAGCACGGTGGCTTGTCATGGTGGGGAGGTCCCACCAGGCCCTGCGGGAGCTCCAGAAGGTGGCCAGGATCAACGGGAAGAAGGAGGAAGGGGACAAGCTCGACATAGAAGTAAAGGGTCCCTTCTGGGTCCCCCAGGGTGCCCCTGGGACATTTCATAGGGGTCCCTTAAGTATCCAACCCATGGACAACTGTCCATCCATGGTCATCCATCATCCCTTATGCATCCTGTCCATCCATCCATTCATCATCATCATCTCAATGACATCCATCATCTCCATCTCCTCCATTTCCACCCATCCCATCCATCCCTTACACCCATCCATGAATCCACCATCTCCATCCCACCATCCACCCATGATCCTCCTTCCTCTCTTTCCCCCATCCTGCCCAGACCTGCTCAGGTACAAGAGGGTCCCTCATGTCCCACCCCCATCCCAGAGCCCCCCCTGTCCCTCCAGACCCTGAGGTCCCACATGGAGAAGGAGATGACGTCATCAGGGACACATCACACCGTGGTTGACCTGGTCCGGACGCCGGTCGTGCGCCGCATCTCCTTCTGCCTCTGCTTCGTGTGGTACGGTCGGCGGTGGAGGACACCAGTGGGTGGTTGTCCATCCTCCTCCACGTCCCTGACCCCCCCATTGCCACCCCACACCTCCCCACATTTTCACCCCCACCACCATGGCCCAGGTTCTCCACCAGCTTCGCCTACTACGGGCTGGCCATGGACCTGCAGAACTTCGAGTTCAACATCTACGTGATCCAGCTGATCTTCGGCGCCGTGGACATCCCGGCCAAGCTGCTGTCCATCCTCACCATCACCTACGTGGGGCGCCGCTTCACCCAGGCCGCCGCCCTCGTCCTGGCCGGCTTGGCCATCTTGGCCAACGTCTTTGTGCCACGAGGTGAGGCCAAGGGTGGTGGCAGTGGTGTCCCCTCATCTCCAACCTCCCCGGGAGGGCCCAGATGAGCTCAACCCATTGACGGGACCCCCAGATTAGGTGATTTTAGCTTTTTGTGGGGGATTTACCCCAAATCCTGGTGTTTGGGGTTTTCTCTTGTCAAGCGAGCCCAGCCCAAGTAGGGACACTGAGGTGACGCCCCGGTGTCCCGTTGTCCCCACAGACCTCCAGACACTCCGGACAGCCCTGGCCGTCTTTGGGAAAGGTTGTTTGGCCGCGTCCTTCAACTGTGTCTTCCTCTACACGGGTGAGCTCTACCCCACCGTGATCCGGTAAGGAGGGGGGGTGGCCGGGGTGGCCGTGCCAGGGTGGTCCCTCAGGTGCCCTCAGGTGCCCTCAGGAGCTCTGGGTGTCCCACAGGCAGACGGGCATGGGCTTGGCCAACACCATGTCACGGCTGGGCAGCATCATCGCCCCCCTGGTGAAGATGGTGGGCGAGGTCTTCCCGGCGCTGCCCTTCATCATCTACGGCGCCGCGCCCGTGGTGTCAGGGCTGGTGGCCGTGTTCCTGCCCGAGACACGGAACCTGGCCCTGCCCGAGACTGTGGAGGAGGTGGAGAGAAGGTGGGGTTGGAGAGGATGAGGGATGAGGGAATGGACGGATGGTGGGAAGGGACGGAGGGTGGGGAGGGACAGAGGCAGAGAAGGGTTGGCTGCATGTGGGGGTGGAGAGATGGACGTTGGTTGGGATGGATGGATGGATGATGGATGATGGATGGGTGGATGATGGATGGATGATGGATGGATGATGGATGGATGGATGATGGATGGATGATGGATGGATGGATGATGGATGGATGATGGATG